CTTATTGACGTATAGTTGCTATTACAATGCATGAAACACGGCAGCCATATTGTGCACAGCAAGATCCCACACTCAAAAACGTGATAAAGACCAGATGATTTGATTTGTGATAATGATTAAGAGATAAATAATAACAAGATAAATATTACACAAACTGTTCAAATATGTTGAATCAGAGATAGTAGGAACTGCAGATGCTGGAGAATCCGAGACAGCAAGTTGCAGAGCTGGATGAACACAGCAGGCCAAGCAGCATCATAGGAGCAGAAAGGCTGACGTTTCGGGCCTAGACCCTTCATCAGATTTCTTGGCCTGCTGTGTTCATCCAGCTCTGCACCTTGTTGTTCAAATATGTTCATCAGTTTGGTTGGTATCATCATCAGAGAATCATATAATGGTACAATGTAGACGGAGATTAATTGATTCTGAATTTACATTTGTGAGGTGTTCAGGTTGAGGGTAGTTATTGCTTGGGAGCACATTTTTAATATTTTTTTCTTGTAATCTATCCCACCGGCTCAACGACGAAGCTCTGCATTGATGGTTCACAGCCATCTCACATCACCTCTACTTAAAGCTTAACAAAGACACACTGATCATTTACCAGTCTGAGTTGAAACTGGGATGAAATTCTTCTGTTTCACGTGAATTCCTTGCAGCCAACAAGATGTGATCATAATACCATCCTGTGAGTCAGATTAAATATTTGATGAAGTAGTGGGAAGACTAATGAGGGCAGAGCTGTTGGCGTTGTGTACATGGACTTCCAAAGGATGTTTCATTAAGTAATAGGCTTTATGTGTCATAGACTCATTAGCAAAATGGAAACCCATGGGATTAAAGGGGGAATTGCTGCACGGATATGAATTTGGCCAAGGAACACAAAGTAGCAAGTCGTTATGAAAGTTGTTTTAAAGACCAGAAGGTTGTGCATAATGGTGTTCCTCTGCATTTGGTATTGGGAACATTTTGATATCTATTACTGATCGACAGCATAACTTCAAACTTTTTAGGAGACAATAAATGCATTAACAATGAGAATGCTGATAATAAATTTCAGGTGGATGTCAGCTGGGTGGCCCTCATAGAATGAGTTCTCTGATTGGGGCTGTTAATCTGGTCCCATCAGGGAGCCCTGGCTGACAGATACAACCAGGAGTATCAGAGGTTCTGTACACTCTGTGTACTGGCTCTGAGGAAGCCGGATCAGTGTCAAGGATTCTGCACGTGTAAATAAAGGGTGACTTGGTGATGGGATACCAGCCTCTGTGGGATTTTTCATATTGGTTAGGCCCCTGCTTGAATATTTTTGACTGAAAACTTTAGAAAGCATGACAAAGGCTTAGAGAGGCTGCAGAGGAAATTTATTAAAGTGATCCCAGGGAGAAAAGACCTCAGTTACACAGAGAAAGCAGAGAAACAGGGATTGTTTTCCTTAGGGAAGAGAAAGTTAATGGGAGTTCATCAGAAACGTTCATGGTCAGAAAGGATTTTGACAGGTAATAGGAAAAACTGTTTCCAATATCAGACAGTTGGTAACCAGGTTTAAGATAATTGACAAAAGAACCAGAGATGACATGATGAAAACTATTATTATAAACTAAATTATTATGGATTTGAATACACTGCCTGAAAAGACATTGAATGCTATATTAGCTATCAAAAAGGAATTGGATAAACACTTAAAGTGGAGACATTTACAGGGTATTAAGGAAAGAGCAGAGGATTTGGACTCAGAGACAAAAGTAGAAATTGCTGGAAAAGCTCAGCAGGTCTGGCAGCATGTGTGGAGAGAAATCAGAGTTAATGTTTTGGGTCGAGTGACCCTTCCTCAGAAACCGAAACATTGACTCTGATTTCTCTTCACACATGCTGCCAGACCTGCTGAGCTTTTCTAGCATTTTCTGCTTTTGTCTCTGATTTACAACGTCCTCAGTTCTTTCAGTTTTTATGAGGATTTGGACTAATTGGATTGTTCTACCTCCTTATGTATTGTACCAATCTGTGATATGAACACACAAACACTAATCCTCTCTAACTTCCAGTTCCAGGTTGCGGACTTTATGAAACTAACTTAAAATGGGCAAACTTGTTGCTAAGTAACAATGAATAGAATTACCTGATCAAGAAAATCTTTCAGGACACAATTCTTCAGAGTAAGTGTTGAGATTCTGTCATGATGGGTAACATTTAGATCATTTATCCAACTAGCGTAATTTTCTCGTGTAACATTTCCATCCTGAATTTCAAATTCATTTGAAATGAGCAGTATATTCCTGTGGACAGAAATTAATGTCAGTACACATACATTCTGTGATTAAGCAGCTGGAAGTCTAGCAAGACCCTTCCCCCCACCTTCCCCCCTCCCTCCAACAACCCACTTAGTACAAATAATCAATGAAATAAAAAAAACAGCCAATCATATCAATCAGTGTGTTGTTTATGAATGATATCTTTCTGTTAGAAATGGAACTGGCAGCAGGAGGCCTGATTGTGGCCATGATTTTGGAGAATGAGGAATTTATGGATTTTTCATTACAGGGATTGCAACCATCCACCTGACTATCTAGTTGCCTGTTTGCTCCACCGTCTGGTATGTCATTCAGCTCTCTCCACTCCATTGCCTCCAGACCATATCATTTCACAGTACCTCCATCGTCTGTTCTGAGCTCATATCTTCCAAAGGGATGTATCTCATAGACTCATGTTTCATCCCTCAGCCCATCTGGTCAAGCAAAACATGCTACTCAGCTCACTGACCTCTGTTTCAGGGAGCCCTCAATTTGGACACTGTCCAGTAAGTCTGCCAGGACTGATGTTAACCACCTTCCCCTCAAAAACCTTTCCTGAATCCTTCAGCCTTCACCAACCTATCCTGTCTTTCTAAAATCCTTCAACATGTTGCTGTTGCCCCGACACAATGCAATCCTTCAGTTTGCTTTCCAACCCGCTCTTATAAAGTCATCAGTGGCCAATGACACTTATAGTGACTGGATTTCAGTGCCACATCTTCTTCCATCTTCTTTGGCTGCATTGAACCTAGCACTGTCTCTTCTCTGCAGTGTATATACTTCCACCCTTTTCTGTCCAAGTTATAATGTTCTTAAAATGGTCAGAACTGCTCTTGTAACAACATGCTGTCCTGTTCCAGTATCCTCTCATCAGCCGTATTGCAAAATTGCATCCATGGCCTCATTTCTTTCCATTGATCTTTGAATAAAGTTACAGCTAGCAATCTGAAAAAAGCTGCCACAGAAATTTGACTGTCCAGGGTTTAAGAACCCAATAGGACTTTAAGTTAAGATCCTAAAGGCCACTATAGGTGTTGGGTCTGCAAATCCTGCTGTGACATCAAGTGTTCTTCAGGGTTAAGGGAAGAAAAGAAAATTAATGTAGGAGCGTAGAAAATTTACAGCACAGAAAGAGGCCATTTGGCGCAATGTGCTTATGCTTCCAAAAAGAGCTACCAACCTAATCCCACTTCCCAGGTGTTGGCCTGTTGATATGTAGACTGTAGCACTTTAGGCACATATCCCTTAGCATTAACATGAAATATAATGTTTTTATATATACAGATATGCAAGGTTCTGAAGTATTACATTCTTGATTGATCTGACTTGGTTAATATGAAATTACGCAATATGTTGTTCAATTCTACTTACGAATCTAAGCAACCCCAGTAGGCTGTGGTTGCCTTGAACCCAAGAATGGAGAAGATGGGGACTGAAGCAAAAATAGAGGTAATGCTGTTGATAACAGCTACAGCCACTGCATCCACCTCACAGTCATTTCTGAAAAGCAGAAGAGATCCTTTTTTGAAACGACATCTAATTTTTTGTAACCCACTTTCTGTCCTTTTTGACCTCGTTTATTCATTCACAGAAACAGGTATCTGACAGTCAGCATTCAAGGACATTCCTATTCATTTGACTGCCTGGTCTATACCATGAAATTGTTTCCTGACCAGAAAGGAAAATTGTAACAGCCAGTATTATTTTTCATGCATCATAGTCTATATGCATCACTGGTGACGTCACCATTTGTTGTCCATCCTGAATTATCTGTAAGGAGTAATTGGTGAGCTGCCTTCTTGAACCTTTGGAGTCTGTGTGGTGCAGGGACACATGCAGTGCTGTCAAAAACAGAGTTCCAGGGATTTCACCCAGGGAAATTGAAGCAACAATGATGTAGTGCTAGGTCAAGATGGTCCATGACTTGGAGGGACCTTGCAGGTGATGGAGTGACTATCTGCTTGCTGTCCTCACCTTTCTGAACAATAGAAGTCACAAGGTTAAGAGGTGCTATCAAAGAAGTCTTGGCAAGTGCAAGTTACTGCAATGCATCTTGCAGATGGTGTACGCTGCAGTCACAATGTGCTGATGGTGGAGGACATTAGTGTTTAATGTGATGGATACTATGCAAATCACATGGGTTGCTGTGTTCTGGATGGTGTTAGGCTTCTTGATCGTTGTTAGCGCTGCGTTCATCCAGGCAAGTGGGCAGTATGCCACTTTCCTGAATTGTGCCTCACAGATGCGAGAGAGAATAATTCAAACTATTAGGTAGTTTAGTCAACTCTTATGTTAATTCATCTCATCAATTCAATAGTTGAAATCCATTCAATGTGAGCGAGAGTTCTAGACTTGGTCCAGAGTATGACTTGCCATAGGGGCAAACCACAATAATTGTTTTTTTAGATACCAGTTTGTTTTCCATTTAAGAACATGATTACGTCCTCAGTCTCCATTTGGAATAAGCGTCCTGTTAAAGTAATAAAAATCTAAAAGTTGCTTAATATTATGATCAGCTGATATCATCCATTCTATCAGAGATAGTAGGAACTGCAGATGCTGGAGAATCCGAGACAACAAGGTGCCGGGCTGGATGAACACAGCAGGCCAAGCAGCATCATAGGAGCAGATTCTATTCTATGTTCTGTTTGATAGATAGATCTGTAGTTCAATGAATGAAGGGAGTGGACAGCGAAGTAGAGTTGAGGGCAAGGATTGACCATGATCATATTGAATGATGGAGCAGGCTCAAAGGGTCCTATGATCTTCTGTTGCCATTCCTTCATCCTTATGTATAGGCCAAGGTCTTATTGAGTGCACCCAAGTGCTCGATTACCTACAGCGTGGATCTAAGGTCATTTTCTAATATTAGGCTTTCTCTCCCAAACTGCAGCATCAACTGTGTTTCAATGGTAGAACTCTCACAACTGAATCAGAACGTTTTGGTTTCATACTACACTCCAAAGATGTGAGCATGACGTTTAGGCTAGCACATCAATCTGACTTTAAACCCAATGATCATCTTCTCAATCAGACCAAAAAAGAAGAAATTTTCCAGTATCACTGTCAGTATTTATGCCACAATTAACAACATTAAAACAAATTACCTGGTCGTTTAAGAGATAACAAGGTGTAGAGCTGGATGAACACAGCAGGCCAAGCAGCATCAGAGGAGCAGGAAGGCTGATGTTTTGGGCCTAGAGCCTTCTTCAGAAATGGGGGAGGGGAAGGGGGTTCTGAAATAAATAGGGAGAGAGGGGGAGGCGGATAGAAGATGGATAGAGGAGAAGATAGGTGGAGAGGAGACAGACAGGTCAAAGAGGCAGGGATGGGGCCAGTAGAGGTGAGTGTAGGTGGGGAGGTAGGGAGGAGATAGGTCAGTCCAGGGAGGATGGACAGGACAAGGGGGCGGGATGAGGTTAGTAGGTAGGAGATGGGGGTGGGGCATGGGGTGGGAGGAGGGGATAGGTGGGAGGAAGGACGGGTTAGGGAGGCGGGGACGAGCTGGGCTGGTTTTGGGATGCGTTAGGGGGAGGGGAGATTTTGAAGCTTGTGAAGTCCACATTGATACCATTGGGCTGCAGGGTTCCCAAGCGGAATATGAGTTGCTGTTCCTGCAACCTTTGGATAGCATCGTTGTGGCACTGCAGGAGGTCCAGGATGGACATGTCGTCTGAGGAATGGGATGGGGAGTTGAAATGGTTTGCGACTGGGAGGTGCAGTTGTTTAGTGCAATCCGAGCGTAGGTGTTCTGCAAAGCGGTCCCGAAGCCTCTACTTGGTTTCCCTGATGTAGAGGAAGCCACACCGGGTACAGCAGATGCAGTATACCACATTAGCAGATTTGCAGGTGAACATCTGCTTGATGTGGAAAGTCTTCTTGGGGCCTGGGATGGGGGTGAGGGAGGATGTATGGGGGCAGGTGTAGCACTTCCTGCGGTTGCAGGGAAAAGTGCTGAGTGTGGTGGGGCTGGAGGGGAGTGTGGAGCGGACAAGGGATTCCCGGAGAGAGTGGTCCCTCCGGAAAGCAGATAAGGGTGTAAGACCTGGTTGTTTATTCTGTTTATTGGAGCTTGCTCTGCAGAAATTGGTTGCTTCACTTCTTACATTAAACAGTGACTGCATTTCAATATACAATTGACAGTGAAATGCATTGGGACATCCTGAGGTTGTGAAAGGTAACACAGAAGTGCAAATTATTTCCATTAATATAAATCAAATTGCTCTTTAATTCTACTTGCTAAAGTCAATATAATTTGGTGTGATCTGCAAGTTTAAATTGCGAACTTTCTCTGTTAGATAAACAGTATCAACAGTGAGGAGCTTGCTCTGGAGGCTTGGGGTGTGATGAAAGCATTTGTGGCGGATGCATTGCACTGGGAAACTGCCTTATCTAAAATAACCCATCTAAGATTCCTCAGCTGTTTCGTCTTCAAAACCATGGCACCTCATTTTGATTCACAATCTCTCAGTTGGCACTTTCCTGAAAGATCGCTGGAATTTTGTGCATTATGAGATATTAATGTATGGGTGTCTAACGCATTTATAAGAAATTACGTAGTCAGCTGTGCCTTAGTTCACTGACATAGAAAAGTGGCATGAACATAATAAGCTAATGTGACACAGTGTGCTCTCCAAGTTAACTCAGAGAAAGTCTTTAATTCTTGTAATATCCTCCTTTCCCTCTGGTGTGCAAGTCCCTTTTCTTAAGGAGCTGATTACAGGAAGTACTGTGATTACATTTATGCTTACTTTGGTGAGTTATAGCTGGAGAATGCAATAAGTCCTCCAAAACTCAAAGACATTGAGAAGAAGATCTGTGTCGCTGCATCTAACCACACTCTTGGCTGGGTCAAAACACTCAGCTGGAATAAAACAAAATGGAATGAGAGTACAAAAGGCACTTGCTAGAAATAATCATCAGTCATTAATATCAGTTGTTATCATTAACTGCAGCTCCTGTAATTCTCCAGGTCCTCCAGATGCCCAATACCTGTGGACACTCATCACAATCTCAAATGTAAAAATATAAGAGAGTAACATGTAAATCTGGAGACTTTAATCATGGCTTGTCAAACTTCAGAAGTCTGAAATGTAGGCAGGCTTTTACTGGGGTTTGTGACTAAAATCATAAAGCTTACCAGCACAGAGCAATGGATATATGATCAGATGGTCTCACCTGGACTCCAAACTAATGTCTTATGAAGTGAGGTTGAGTAGGTTGGGCCTGTACTCATTGGAATTTAGAAGAATGAGAGGCAACCTTACTAAAACACACAAGCTTCTGAGGGGGACTTGGCGGGGAAGATGTGGAAAACATTGTTTCCCCTTGTGATAGAGTCTCGGACTAGAGGGCATCATCTCAGGATAAGGTGTCTTACATTTAAGACAGAGATGAGGAGGAATTTATTCTCTCAGAGACTAGTGAATCTGTGGAATTATTTACCACAGAGGGCTGTCGAGGCTGGATCATAAAGTATATTCAAGGCGGAGATAGTCAGATTTTTAATCACGAAGGGAATCAAGGGTCACGGGGTAAAGGCAGGAAAGTGGAGTCAAGGACGATCAGATCAGCCATGATCCCATTGAATGGCAGACCAAACTCGATGGGTTGTATGGCCTATCTCTACCCCCATGTCTTATGGTTGATAACTTTCACCACAAGCCTCCTTCATGTATGAGGACATCTGCCTTGAGTGTAGTAAAAGTATCTACAAAGGGCAGTTTGAATTATACCATTTTCTTCCATGTTTTAGACACCAGACTTACTTATTGCCAACTGCTATACCAGATTTGCATGTGAAGGGTTTAACTAAAGATATACAACTGTTGTAAGGCTGAGTCCATCTCCCTCCCATCTAATAACATTTCATTGCAGGTCAGAACCTTAGCTTTCTTCTGGACAAAGCAACTTGTACAGTCCAGGTATTCAGGGCTGGAAAAAGCCCTGAGCTTTTCTTAAAAGTTTAGAAAAATAAGTCAGTAAGTTGGCCTGCTTGTGTGTCTTGGGGAGAAACTGAGAGAAATACTTGTGATTTCCTCAGTTGAGTTAGAAATTAAACAGTTAAGATAGAAATGGTACTTTACTCTTGAGTATCTGCAAGGTACATTGCTGGGGGAGAAAAGATGGACTGTTTCTTTTTGCTGTTCATGCTATGATTTTTCCAAATTGTCTTTTATAAATAGTGTTATTTTCTGTTGTATAATAAACCTATTTTCTTTGTTAAAGATTGATTTGCAGCCTCCTATAAATAAATTCAGGGACTGACCACTATGGGAACAAAACTGCAAAAATAAAACTTACAGTCTATCAAGCCACGTTTCACTCTGAAAGCTCAGAGTCCAGTATTACCATCATCTGGGGTCGTAGTAACACTTTTTGTTCAAGTTGATGTTCTCTAACTTCACTACTTTGGTTAATGCTGATAATCTCCTTCAAAAATATTCTAAGTTGTTGCTCCCAGCTTCTTCTTCCAAACCATGTCAAACATCTGCCTTGATTCCTCTTCCTAATCCCTCGTTCTGTTCTAGTTTGGTTGTGCCTGGGAGAAGGGCTGTTAATGATTGCATGAGGCAAGCATTGCCTTTTCTTTAACATGCAAAATACTAACTAAGAGTAGGACCAGACGAGAGTGAACCAGTGAACCAGCAGTCATGTGATCATACACGTTATTTACATATTCACATTAACTCTTTACACAATAACTATTAATGCCATCCAGTTATCCCATTCTTCTGTTGTGGCATATTCACCTGACTGTTCTTTTTCAACTGATTCTTGTGTCCATTTCCCCATCCTTGTTCTTCACCCTGTTCCTTCTGTAGAAGTGAGCCAAAATCCCTGTCATTTCGAATACATCACCAAAACCCCTGGATTTTTAACAGAACTTTTAATGCAGCTGGGCTGTGCTCTGGAATACACAATCAAGGGGCTAGCTGTCTGCAACCATGGTTCAGTTAGAAGTCCTATCCATGTCTCAGCCCTAAAGGAACATTGAACCAGACCTAAGACAACAACTTTAGACATCTTGGACCCTTCCGAGGTACCAAGGCATTCAACTTCAATTAATATTCATTCGCAGAAATACTGGACATTCCACTTAATCAAAACACATTTACACCTACTCTAAACTATCAGGAAGCCAATTCACCACAAAGGGGACAACAGAAAAATAATGGATAACACAGATTTGCGAGGTGGTAATGGAGCACACAGTCTGTGTAACTGCTGGCCCTGATCTGGGAAAGAGAGAGAGAGACCCATCCCTGCAGCTTCCAACAGAAGAGGGATCCCAGACAGCTTCTCTCCTCGAGAACTATCTGCACAGCTATCCCCCTGAAACCTACAACACAGGGCTGTTCTGTACCAGGGGAACCAACGACAAAGGACCACAACTAGCAGATCTAACAACCGACGACCTCCGAAAACCACCAACACAACTGCCAAGGCCTCAGACACGTCCTGAGGTGAAAACCGGCTCATAAAATCACCACAAAGTGAAGAAAATCCAAGTTCTCAAACCAGAATGAACACTGTCCAAAGTCTTCAGTGAAGCACTGACTACAGCAAGTGGAAATGATCAGCTGTATTTCAAAATTGTGTTTATCCCCACTGGTGAGCCTATTTCCTCAAGACCCAAAGTATCCAACCTAGCTAGCAGGGAGGGAAAGGTGGGTTGGTGACAGTGCAGGAGGCCTGAGGTCAGGAAGTCTGATTAAAGTGTCTGTGTTTGAAACTACTGTTTAGTTTCTAATAGTAATTAGCCTGTGCTAAGTTAATTACTGATAGTGTCAGCTTCACTGTTTTGAATTTGCCTTTTTATCACTCGTATTTTATTCACCTTTGTGTTATTTCCCTGTTTATTACTTTTGCCTTTCTTTTTCTTGTGATATAATAAATGCAGAGATTCTTTGCCTGAAGCACCTGTCTACTGCCTTTTTCACTTCACATTCCTAAATTAAGTCCAGTGTCAGAACGAGAGATCTGGGGGTGATTTGAACCACCTAAATATCAGCAGAATAGTGATCGCAAACCAGGCTCCCTACACTTCCTCACTATTATCCAGTCCTTTTTGCAATTCTCATTAACTGTCTCTTACTCATCCTCATCCTTTCTGCTTCTCTCAACAAACCTGTTGCTAATAATGAACAGTATCCCTGAGCAGCACCACATCTCACTTCTCAGCCAGTTCGAGAAACCTCTTTTCACTCCTACCCTCTCCTTTCTGTTTGGTCATTATATTTCAATCCACAGCCCCTGTCATGATACACAAACGTTCTGGGGACCCAGGTTCAAATCCCGCCATGGCAGATGGTAGAATTTGAATTCAATAAATATCTGGAATTAAGAATCTAATGATGACCATGAATCCAATGTCGACTGTTGGAAAAACCCATCTGGTTCAGTAATGTCCTTCAGGGAAGGAAACTACCTGGTCTGGCCTACATGCGACTCCAGACTCACAGCAATGTGGTTGACTCTTAACTGCCCTCTGGGCAATTAGGGATGGGCAATAAATGCTGCCTAGTCAATGATGCCCTCATCCTGTTAATGAATTAAAAAAAACAAACTTAGCAAAGCTCTTCCATAAGGAATGGGGCTTAGAAACAGCAGAAATGGAACTAGATCTTTCAACAGTCCTCCTCCTTTGCTCTGCCAATAAATAAGCAACCATAGCCAGTGTACTCACACCTTTTGAAAGAAAAGTGTATTGTCTATTTAAAATAAAATGTAAAGGTAATGTAAGTACAACAGATTGGCACTCTGACACAAAGGAAACTTGTTTCCTTGTTCACATGGAATGTTTTTCAATGCCATCTCTTTCTGTGTGCTTAGCTTTGCATCTTAATACATACAGAATGTAAATTATCATGGAGATGTCCTGAAGCAGCTCTGACACTCATAAGAAAGAATTATATCTACTTACGTCTGGAGTAATTAAGTAGGTCAAACCATGTATGGCCCCAGGCAGTGTTAATCCTCGTACAAGGAGAATAACAAGTACAAGGTAAGGGAAAGTTGCAGTGAAGTAGATCACCTGCAATAAATAATAAGTAAGATTTTAAATGGTTAATAAAATTTTCCCAAGACTTGAACTTGATTATTGACCTTGGAAGTCAATGCTGGAATCATACCTAGCTGTGCCTCTCATGACTAAACCTGTTCACACTTTGGGATGAGTGGGGGGCCACTTAATGATGCATCCAGAGATAGTACGAACTGCCGATGCTGGAGTCTAAGATAACAAGGTGTAGACCTGGATGAACACAGCAGGCCAAGCAGCATCAGAGGAGCAGGAAAGCTGACATTTTGGGTCTGGACCCTTCTTCAGAAATGGGGGAGGGGAAGGGGACTCTGAAATAAATAGAGAGAGGGGGAGGCGATGATGGAAGGTGGATAGAGGAGCAGATAGGTGGACAGAAGACGGACAGGTCAAGGAGGCGGGGATGAAGCCAGTAAAGGTGAGTGTAGGTAGGGAGATGGGATAGGGGTTGGTCAGTTGGGATGGAGGGGCGGATAGATGGGAGGGAAGACGGACAGGTCAAGGAGGCGGGGATGAGGCTAGTAGGTAGGATGTAGTGGTGGGGGTTGGTCAATGAGGTGGGAGGAGCAGATGGATGGGAGAAAAGATGGATAGGTCAAGGAGGCGGGGATGAGAATGATGTATCCAGTTGGGTAAGCCACATTTGGGTCCATCTCTGGTTCCACAGTGCACATGGTAGCAGTGCCTTCCATCTATAAGATGTACTGCGGCAATTTACCAAGGCTGCTTTGACTGCATTTTCCTCACCTATGACCCCAACCACCTAGAAGGACAAAGGGATCCACTGCATGAGCATAAGACCACTTGCAAGAAACCCTCCAACCACACGCCATCCTTCATTGGAATTTTGTTGCCATGCCTTCGCTGTCACTGGGACAAAATCCTGGAACTACACCCCACAACAGCACTGCAGCTGTACCTATATATTAAGGACAGCTGTGGATCAAGAAGGCAGCTCACTATGTTGTAAAATATGTCCATAGCTGACATCTGGTCCTACTAGGACCTTCCTTTAGGTAGATTTGCTGCCACTAGCCCTTCTATAATATTGATCTAAGGGACTTTCTCACATTAAGTGGTGAAGAATTAACCACTCATAGATCTTTGCCAGAAGAGGCATACACTTGAAGAACAAGTAGTTTACTACACAATAGTAAGATAACAGGTTACATTAGCTTAAGAGATAATAGGAACTGCAGATGCTGGAGAATCCGAGACAACAAGGTACAGAGCTGGATGAACATAGCAGGCCAAGCAGCATCATAGGAGCAGAAAGGCTAACGTTTCGGGCCTAGACCCTACATCAGAAAAGGGGGAGGGGAAGGGGGTTCTGAAATAAATAGGGAGAGAGTGGGAGGCGGATAGAAGATGGATAGAGGAGAGGATAGGTGGAGAGGAAACAAACAGGTCGAAGAGGCGGGGATGGAGCCAGTAAAGGTGAGTGTAGGTGGGGAGTTAGGGAGGGGATAGGTCAGTCCAGGGAGGACGGACAGGTCAAGAGCGCGGGATGAGGTTAGTCGGTAGGAGATGGGGGTGCGGCTTGAGGTGGGAGGAGGGGATAGGTGGTAGGAAGAACAGGTTAGGGAGGCGGGGACAAGCTGGACTGGTTTTGGGATGCGGTAGGGGGAGGGGAGATTTTGAAGCTTGTGAAATCCACATTAATACCATTGGGCTGCAGGGTTCCCAAGCGGAATATGAGTTGCTGTTCCTGCAACCTTCGGGTGGCATCGTTGTGGCACTGCAGGAGGTCCAGGATGGACATGTCGTCTGAGGAATGGGAGGGGGAGTTGAAATGGTTTGCGACTGGGAGGTGCAGTTGTTTAGTGCGAACCGAGCGTAGGTGTTCTGCAAAGCGGTCCCCGAGCCTCCGCTTGGTTTCCCCGATGTAGAGGAGGCCACAACGGGTACAGTGGATGCAGTATACCACATTGGCAGATGTGCAGGTGAACATCTGCTTGATGTAGAAAGTCTTCTTGGGGCCTGGGATGGGGGTGAGGGAGGATGTATGGGGGCAGGTATAAAAAATCTTATAACAACTGAACAACAGACTATATCCTCACCCGGTATGGTAGGAACAGCTATTCCAAAGCTTCTGAGTTAACCTTTTCAGACCAATTGTCTGGTACAACAACCGCCAACGTCTTGAGGGCAAATTGGAATGGGCAATAAACGGAAGCCTAGCCAGCAACATTGTCATCCCATGATTGAATTAAAAAAAATACTCAAACGCTGTTTTTACAAAAGCTCACCTTCCCCACGGTTTCAATTCCTCTTATGACACAACAGTATACGATCAGCCAAGCAGCAACGAGGCATATAACCAGACACCATTGTTGGCTGTCTTTGTTTGCAGTAATTTCAGGACTGATATTCAAAGTGTTTCTGTACCAGAAGTAGTCCACTGGAGTGCTCAGCTCACACTCTTTAATAAAACCTGCAAAAGATGTGAAATAATTTGAGTAGAATTCTCTAAAGGTCAGGGCTGGGAATTCTGTGGTATGTCTCCTCCCTAGACCCTGTCTACAATATATTAGGCATGTGGGACCGTGTCTCAATAACAATTGAGATCGGTGAGTGGCGAAAATAACCTCTTTATTGAGCATCCACAGTAGCACAGTTTGAGGTGGCAATGGAATCTGAAGAAGGGTCTAGACCTGAAACGTCAGCTTTCCTGCTCCTCTGATGCTGCTTGGCCTGCTGTGTTCATCCAGCTCTACACCTTGTTATTACAGTTTAACAGTAGGCTCTTTTATACACAGTTTTTACATATATTAAAATTTTAGCACTACAGTGTCACATGTTTGTATCCATTGTACACAGAAGTTTGTGTGACATCTACCCTGGGGAAGCAGGAGATGGTTTAAACACTCATTAAATGCTGGCTGTTACTCTTGATAGAACTGGAATGTCTCTCCGGTCTGAGCTTGCATAAATAAGAGGCGTTAGTTCTTTTGTCTTTAAAGTTAGTAATGTTAGCAAAAATACTAGACGTATATGATTTAAATAAGTGAGAAATTATACGTGTACTAAATAAAAATATAGAGGATATTAAACCGATCTCCTGCAGCTGGGTCATGAGATTTCATTTACTATTACTGGTTTTGATAGTTCTTACACATTCATTCATGCAGTTTCATGGAAGCACTGTTCTGATAGTAAGTTTCTTGAAGGGGGTAGCAGACTATTTAATATGTATGTAATAAGTACATACTAGTGGAGGAAACTGTTTGATGTTCTGCAACCTATTCAGGTCCCGTGAGACAGTTACTAAGGGTTAATTAATATTATAATCATTCCATAGTTTTGAATGAGTTATGGAGACATGATGGTGGGGATTGGCATTGTTCTGAGTGGGTTCTGGTATTAACACTTATTCAGGGGTAGCCTTTGATGTAGGAACAAGTCTAAACACTGCTTGCAGCACGGAGATGATAAGAATCAAAAGGTGTAAAGAAACAGTAATGGATTAGAAGGGATGTTTAATTAGTTCATCTGGTAAGAGTAAAAATGTTCTACAAAATCACAGTTTTATGAATGAGTGAATGAAAACACGATATAGTAAACATATTGCACTTGTGAGTGAGTTAGTAGAGAGAATTATAATACAATACCTCACAGGCACAGTTCAGGATTACAATGTGAATATTTACCTCGTTGAGTGTGCGTCCAATAATTCTCAAGCAGCTCGATACCATTCAGGAAAAAAACAGCTTACATAATCTGTACCTCATCAACAGGCTTAAACGTGCTATCCCTCCACCAACTGCTGCATAGCGGCAGCAGTATATATTAGAAGAAAGATCTATGGCAGCAAATTGCCTAGACTCCTTTGACAGCACCTTTTAATGTCATGACCTCTGCCACCCAGCAGGACAAAGGCAGAAGATGCTTGGGAATCCAACTACCCACTAGATCCCCTCCAAGCAAGAAGATTGCTTATTGTTTTCTCACTGCTACTGTGTCACAATCCTGGAAATCCCTTCCCTAACAGTGGCAAAATCTTTTGTTAGTACCATTGTGCCAAAACATTCTTTAATGTTCAACATGCAAAACGTTGGCTCACTTTGAGTGTGGATGGTCTCATCATCCTTATGATCTGACAGGATATCTTGACTAGGCATTTTGTGGATATTGTCTTTATGACGTTTGGCATGTGCTCTTGATTGGTTGGAATACTGTACCTCCTAATATTTTGAAGTGGCTTCTCATGACATGAAACACTTGGTTTGACCTTTGTTCTCGTATTGACGTCTCCAGTGTCTTCTGGTGCCACATACCTTGCACATTGTAGGCATTTTCTGGATGCATTGCCCATCTTGCTTAATAACTTTGCCTGCAATAGCTACTGTGGACAATTAGGCATACCCTGGTGACTGTCGATCCATTATTATGGCTTCATTTTATGTTCACCTTGTAGTAATGCTGCCAAAGTTTAATCTTTGGCTGGGTCCAAAATGTCATTGTCACTTCCACTACTATCATGAGCTTGATTGTTCGGTCAACTAGCTCTGTCGCTGTGAAATTGCAAGTACACCCCCTGTTTCTATGTCTACTTATAACATGGTCAATTTGTGTCTTTCAGTTGTTGTCTCAGAAACAAATATTCCAGATGGTGTATTCTGAAGTAAAATTTCACTTGCAATTGATTTCTAAGTGTTGATAATTTTTCTAGATTTTTAAGATGGTAGACGGACAGACCTGATGCATGCAGTCAATGGAGATATTCATTGCCAGCAATTTTAATGCTAATGTTCTGTTTATCTGGTCTGGAAATAATAAAGTCAGAAAGCACAGACTGCGTGTTTTCAGAACAAAGTAAACTCAGATATCTGATCCAACATTTTCCATTTGAGTATTGGAAATTTTGCTGTCATTTTGCAGCAGTTTTCAGGATTTTTTAAATGCGTTCTGGAGCTCTTGACAGCCACGCAACTATTTTTCCAAGACAACAAGGTGCAGAGCTGGATGAACACAGCAGGCCAAGCAGCATCATAGGAGCAGAGAGGCTGATGTTTTGGGCCTAGACCCTTCATCCAGCCCTGCACCTTGTTGTCTCGGATTCTCCAGCATCTGCAGTTCCTACTATCTCTAATTCAACTATTTTTCCACCTTTGTTAAACTTAAATTCACTCCGAGCTGCAGTACCTTTAGTGGCCACAGCCATAGTTAGTTATAGATTATTACTTGTTAGCAATGATGGTGCTGTTGAGCTCCTTCGCTTAATTAAACTCTGAGCCCTATCTACGCAAGTGAGTTGGTGAGAAAATAGTGATAGGATTAAAGGCAAACAACAAATTGAAAAGATCTTTTTACAAACTTCTTCCAGGCTTTGGACACCACTGGATAGATTCTTCTTCCCAGCCCAGTCTGTGGCATTTTGGTTCAGCAGTCTCTATGATTTCCCCTTAAAGTGGAGTCACCTGTTTAATTAGAGATAACAAGGTGTAGAGCTGGATGAACACAGCAGGTCAATAACATCAGAGGAGCAGGAAGGCTGATGTTTTGGGCCTAGATCCTTCTTTAATTTCTGCTTCTGCTTAACCTTTGCAGGAAGACTATTTTTGCAGATTTGAACAATCCTGGAGATGGATGAAGCTGGCTGGAGTGAAAGGCTGCCCTGGAATGGTGGTACAGTGTGTCAAGTTCCTACAAAGCTGCCAGGATAACTCCACATAGTGATGCTTGATCGTCATTTCACTTTCACACCAGCTCCTTACCTCTGTTCTGTCCCTAATTCTGCTTAATCAAATTATGCAGCTGGTATGTTACAGATAGTGCAGTTACAAGTAGAAATCTTCAGCACAAATTACCACTATTTTAGACATGGTGTACTTAGGCAATAAAAATCTTCAGATACCACAATCTGCAGCCATGTTTCATTTTTCTCTTAGCTTTAAATGTACTATTCACACACAAGGATTGTAAAACTATAATATGGGTTCTTTATTTGAAGATAAGACTATACACAGATAATATTCACAGGAACAGTATTGCTCCTGCTTCAGACTGACTAACAACCCGTGGAGCTATTTCGTCATATCCTCTTGATGATGGTGGAGATTGACAGTAGTTTAAGATACACAACTTTAAAGATATATCCACGTCATATCACAAGAAATGCTGACCATGCCTTTATGTTCAAAGGTAAAGAACACTCCCCATTATGATCAGGAGCCAAAGTGAATTATTTGGCTTGGCCTTGGCAGAAGGGCTAGTCTTTTTTACTGGAATATATACCTGGTAATGACAGTGCGCATCCATAGTCTTGGTCAAAATACGAAGATCTCCACAAATGCTTGAATTTTATGAATTTCTTCCCTTGGGTCACTCACCTTTCGTTGATCCAACCTTTTAGTTTTCACCTCCATGCAGGGCTTTTATAATCTCCTACCAATAAAGGAATGTCAGTTGAGTCCAGGATTATGCAACTAAAGTTAGATACGAGATCTTATTTTTTGAGCACTTTGCATTCTGGCAGATCTGAAAGTTATGATAACTGATGTAAAAATGACTGAATCATCCATTCCAGAAGGAGGCTACTTGGCACAACATACCTGTGCTGGCTCTTTCAGAGGCATTATCCAATCGCCCCCCTTGACCTTTCATTCCCCTATCAGTCAGCAAGTGTGAAAATCTCTTTACAAATCTACATATTCACAGAGCAGGCCATTCAGCCCCTCAAATCTGCTCCACCATGTCATTTTATGGTTGATCCATACCTCCACTTTGATGTGCGTCTCTTGACATTCACATGGAACAAAGTTCAAACAATCTCAGTTTGCAAAATTTCAATTGATTCAACGTTTATATCAATTTTGGGTGGAGAAAGTTCCAGTAATCTACAGCTTTGTGTGGGGGCAAGTGTTTTTCAAATTCACTTTGAATCACCCAGCACTGGTTTAAGATGCTGTCCCTTGTTCTAGACTCATTCCTAAAAGAACAATCTGCTCTATTAGATCCATTATCAGCTGAAAGACTTCGATCAGATTCTTCCTCAACCCGAGTGGATGCCAAACACGTTTGTACAACCTATGTACAAAATTTGACGCCAGAATTTGGAAACAAAGTTCAGCTAGTGGCAAGAATCTTCTGCCTCTGCAGGTGGCAAGCGAGAAGTTGGGGAGGACAATTATTTACATTGCGTGGTGTCATAAGCGAATCCTACAACAGTCAGAGTTAGGCTCTGGGCCCCATAGTTATCCTATTGAGATATTTTGAATCAGTCTGATTAGGCAAATTACAAAATGCCTTTTTAGCAGGTGGGGCTGTAACCCCAGACCTCCTGGCTCAGAGATAGGGACTTTGTCACTGTGCCACAAAAGAGGCCCCCAGTCAATGTTTTTAGATATTTTCCTATTCGGCCTGTTCAGACATGTTATGACACCTGGAGTGGGTGGGACTTGGATGCAAGCCTCCTGGCTTGGAGTTGAGGACACTACCACTGCCCCTCCCCCCCCAGCCATGAACTTTTCTACTCTGCTGCCAATTGAGGCCCTTAAAGAGGCCAATGAAGAACCACTTGGGGCTCATCTGCTTGCTACTGGCACTAAGCTGTCCTGTCACCCTGGTGCTGTTGAGCACCAGAGATGTCAGCCTCTGATTGACTGGCAACCTCTGCCAGGCAGGACCTCCTCCCTCCCCGGGTCTTGATTCCAGGGGAAGACTGGCTACCACTGTCTGATTGGCACATGATTCAGCGGGTCTTCCCGAGAAGGGGTGATGTGGGTCTCTCACCCAGTCTCCGAGCAGAACCAAACTCTGGTCACTCTAGTAATTTGCGATCTAATAAGGATCAACGTTGACAACGAAAGCAACTTAGCCGGCGAAGATGTTCCCTGAACTTAGAAGACAACAAAGCTAGAAAGCATCTATCTGACTCATCACCGATTGATTGATTAAATGGATTTGTGTTTTTTTTTAACCTGTTCCATTGTTGTTTAAAGGGCAGTTTTTCCATGGCAATGGTTCCTCGAATGAATGGAAAAAGTACCAGAGTATCCAGGCGAGGATGGTGTTATAGTACATGGCCACCGCAAAGGAAGCCAGCATGGAAGCAATGCCTGCAACATAGTAAATTACAGAAAGCCGATCAAATGGATTGCAAGTGTTTATTCAATGACTTATGCTAGAATGATAAATTAAATGATCTGTAGAGAGCTTTAAGCCTGAATTGGAGATTAAAGATACAAGCATAAACATGCTGGAGTATTAATTGCTCTTAACATTAACTGATAAGCTGCATTTCAGAAATCTGGGCTTTTACCTCACTTTAATGGCTATTTGGTTTGTAGAATACATCAGCTAATGGCCAGTGAGTACCTACTTATCCTCCTTAATACTTCTGTAAAGGTTCCATTCACATGAGTGCACAGCAGATATATAAAATGTTTGGAACATGTTCAACATGTAAGTCACATCTTTCAGGAATTGGGGTCGATAGGCATTGAAATTGGCAGTTTTCTATTTTTACAACATAGAGCATTCCTAATGTAGTTACACAATTGGGTAATCCGATACAGACTGAAAATCCTGAGGTAACCCAGGAATATGCAAAGTTTCTCAACGGCAGGTGAAATTCATTATTGTTTATAGAGTAGGTCACTAGGATTTGAGAGTAACAAGAGACACACTTGGACCTGCACCAGCTTCTCTCCTTGGGGTTCTCTCGCAAAATTAATTTCAAAAATGAAACCACATGAGGAGAAAGCGGTAGCAACTACGTAAGTGTAGAGTAGTATCATTTTTTAAAATTCGTTTCAATTCATTGGGGAGGTGATGGCCTTATCGCTGGATTGTTAATCCAGAGACCCAGATAACTTTATGGGGATAGTAGGAACTGTAGATGCTGGAGAATCTGAGATAACAAGGTGTAGAGCTGGATGAACACAGCAGGCCAAGCAGCATCAGAGGATCGGGAA